AAGTAACGGTACCTTTGACATCAAGCTCTTTAACAAGTAAATCCAAAAACACAGGATGATGTTTTGGAGTAAAACTCTCATTTTTATCATTTTTATCGCTATTATCGGACCCGTTTGTCAAGCTTGTGAAATGTACAAAGTTTTACCACTTTTGACTATTATTTATTATCAGGAATGAAATAAATAATACTGTAACTTACACCTTTGTTGCAGTAGCAATTAATGGAGTCAAGTGAGTTTCTTTATTAAATTTGAAATTATCTGATACGCCAGGATCGAGGTGAATAGCCAATGTAGGAATACGAAGAATTGGTCTATTATCATTTTTAGAATAAATATCGTATTTTAGTTAGCTGGAAATCGTATAAATAAATTTTATTATTCCGAACCTGTTAACTTTAATGAGTTTGTGCTCAAATTGGTGTTTGTCAGTTTCGACCATTACACGGCCGGCAACGCTAAGATCTCGGTCGAACCAAGTATGCCTTCAATATATTAAAATAATTAATAATCAATCCACGGGTAATATATTATACATTTTAATAACAAATATACCAAAGGCCACTCCCGTAAGTTTCAACCCCGACTTGTAAATAGCCTGCTGAAGCTTTTTTGGATACAGGTTTAAGCTACAGTAAAAAATAAAAATTAAATATGGTTAAATAACTTGTTATGGTGAGATTGATATTTAATATTGTGAATATTACCTTCAAACAAGGAGAGTCAGTATGAGCACCAATAATTGAGATACCGTTGCCAGGAACGTATTGACCACCTATAGCAAATGCAACGATAGTGCTTCGATTTCTTGTGAAATAATATTTTCCATTATTCTTCAGCTTTCCGGACCAATTATCACGTTCCTTAATTTCTTCATATCCAGCACTAGCCAAACGCAAACGAGCTGATTCTACCGCATGAAATGGTGAAGGAGATTCGTTCACAAATTTAATGAAATCAGATGCTTCATCGGGAACAACATTGGATTCTCCCTGATAGGAACGATCGATTATGCGAAAATTAAATGAGCGTTTGATTATATAAAAAGGAATCGAAAGACATATTGTTTTGGCACTTATAAAATACTGCAACACAGACAGTCAATTTTCTTTTTTGTTTATCTAAATATGAGCGATAGAATTTTATTCGTACTAATTTTGATACCGAAGCTTACCATTTTTTTTTTTCTATTCTTATAATTTAAAGTATGTACGTATATTTATATATCTGATATTGAATTATTATCAATGGTAAAATGTATTAAGTTTCATCAATGCATCAATCTACAAGTTTTTTTTAACGCTATTTAGGTTGATCAAACATGTTTCATATAACCTTACCTTTTAAGTTACACCATCGAGCATTGCTTTTTTTCGCAATTTTTTTTTATATTACAAAATTAACATTAAGGTCGTACGAATCCTAAAAGATGAAAAAATAATGCACTTCGATTGTGTTACATATTATTTTGCAAAAATAGGGGCAGAATAGCCTTTTTTTGATTGAATAATACGATTAACTTAACGTTAACACATACTCTTTGACAGGCCCGTTGACGGGTTATTCTATATCTTTGCATTCTTTCTAAAATCTGTATACTTCAGAATAGAATATGGAAATCGCCATCACTCACTACGAGGCCTTCAAAAAATTTCTTGCATCACATCTTGCCAAAGGTAAGTGTAATTAGCTTAGATCTAAACTTCGAGTAGTTACGACTCGGAGCATCTCGCATATTCATTGTTTTATTTGCAACGATCTTGAAGAATTGCAAAAAGTAACAGTTGATGTGTAAAACAGTTCTTTAATTATCTTGGAAGATTTTCATACTATGCTGCATAATTAGCGAACTTACGATTCCATATTATTCTCAGAACAAGCCAATGATTCAAGAACAAATGCGCGGAACAAATTAACAAAACTCACAAAAGTGCAGTTTCAAGAACTTTCTACTGATGTGTATGACGAGTTATCCCGGCGGCTATTGGGTTCAAATGCGGGTACTGCTAATGAATTCTTTAATTGATTTAATTTCGTGAAGAAAATCATCAGTATTGTAATCTTTGCCATTATTACATATTTATTATTTCCAGTTCCATTTCTTCCTGTAAACGATTCCTTTCATCCAAAAAGGAATCAAGCACGACAGAAGTTAGCAACATTACCCAAAAATCGATTTAAAGATCTGGCGAGTGATGTTTATTATGAATTAGAGAGACGTTATCCTGAATTAAAAGATATGGATGTAAGTTGTTTGACTATGTTATTAATTCGATAATATTTTATTTTGTTTTGAAGTAATATCTAATTATAATTAAACATAATAAGTTCTCAAACCCGCCATATGGCACTCCTCCTCCATATAACACCTCATTACGCAACAATAATCCTTCCCAACAACCATCAATAGATGGTGCCGCGTCCGGTCAAGCTACAGAATCGAATACTATCGTTCCAGAAACAAGTACCTTAAGACAAGAGGTAATCTCCGTTGACTTTCGCATTCAAAAACCAAATATCCGACCAGATACTTCAAACGTTACCACCAATGCAGAAAGTAGTCCAAAGCTTTATTCCTCCAACAATAATAATAATAATAGTTTTGGCAATAATTTCCCACCAGTACCAGATGGTATGCCTCCAGAGTATGGGTCACCGAAGAGTCGTACTCAATCATCTACGTCCTCTGCATCTGATATTGGACATCGTCGTACAAATGGCACTAGTATTAGTAGTATTAGTAGTAGTTCAAGTAGAGGAAACAGAGACACAGTTAATAGTCAAAAAAGTAATAAACCTGATACTGTTAATTTTGCCTCTCTTGATAGTTTGATGGCTGACTTGGGAGACATGATTGATCCTAAAAAATCTTCAAATGGTTTAACTACACAAACTGGAGAAAGAAATGATGTTTGTATTTTAAAAATCGCATTATTGATAGTTCTATCTTATTACTATTATTAATAATATTAATGTTATTATTATTATAAAAATTATAATACCTTTTAATACTTAGATACATTCTGAAATAGAAATATTAAAGTCTGATTATGACCAACGAATAAATGCTCTTCAAAGACGAATAAGAGAACTAGAATCAGTAAATAACTTGATAGTTTTAGTTATGTGAGATGTTTTGAATTCAGGTTATATAGAAAAGTGTTTAATCATTTATTTATGAATTTACAGATGAAGGGTGGTTCAGATGGTGATAGCGCACGAGTACGTAATCTTGAAAACCAACTTGAAGAACTAGAAAAGATAAACAAACAACAAACATTAAAAATAGAAAAAATGGAACGAGATTTTGAAAAATTAAATGAAGATTACCGACAGCAACAAGAGGTATATTTTAATGTAAATGCTCTATTTGTTTGGATATATTATACTCATTTCGTAGTATATTCATTATATTTACCCAATTATAGGTTTCTAATGAGGTGCAAAAGGAAGCCTCCAAATTACTAGAAGAAATAAAATCACTTTCAATAAAGAATGATGATTTATACTCAGAAAAAGAACAAGGCGTTGCTAAAATTAAATCTTTATCGGAAGAAGTAAACGAGTGGAAGAACAAGTATGAGAAGGCGAAGACAGAATTGAGAAATTTGAAGGGTAATTTGTTATAAGAAATAATGCTATGAATATAACCTGCGAATTAAATTATATGGAATTGTTTAATAAAGTATATGTACTTTATATTATATAATAGCAACATCTTCATTCTTCAAAGAAGCACCCAAAGTTGATATCGTGAATGATAGCTCTTTAACCCCGACTCCAGATGGTGCGATCGATGAATCCAAAATTATTGCATACCAAGTGGCAATTGATGATTTATTAAGAGCTGGACGGTATATAACTTATATGACAAGATTTTATAATTAAAGTTCTTAGAATTTATATTAATTGATAATGCGGTTTATTCTTAACAGATCTGATGTATCAGCTAATGTTCTCGTTGCTATGAAATCAATCGTTATTGCCTGTAAAGGTATTACCGAAGAAGTTGACACATATGAACAACGTAAAGGCTCATCATTGAAAGCGGAAGATAAAGAAAAATTAAATACTATAAAAACCAAGTTTTCTTGACGCTCACAAATCTTATGAGCGCAGCAAAAAATCACGCAACTGGATATGGTATATCGCCTGTTAGTTTATTGGATGCAGCAGCAAGTCATTTGACAGCTTCAGTTGTAGATATGGTTAAGCATGTTAAACTTCGGCGAACTAGGGGACAAGATACTGATAGGATTAGTTCGGAGCATCTTACTTTGCCATCACGTGAAAGTACGTCTAATGAGTCACAGAGAGCCATGGGTAACCAGGATGATTTGAATTCGTCAATCACGGGGTCCTAAATCTGATTTAAAACTTGAAAAACCAAATGGACATGCTATTGGAGTAGATGAATTAAGAGTAAGATATATAATTTGTACAACGTCAAGTACTGTTTTCATGATAATTAAGTAACCATAAATATGTTATTGAATGACAGGATTTCCTTGAACGTCAAACAGAATCTATAGTTCAAGCAATTCAGACTCTTTTAACTGCCATCAGAAATGGATCATTTGGCAAAGAACTCACTGACAATATTAACACTATCACTACTATTGTTCTTAATGTGATTGCAGTGTGCCGCGATTCTTTTAGATCAGCTAATGTTCCTCAAAGTGTACGTGGTGATGTTATACTAAAAGAATTAGAAGATAGCATTGATAAATTAGATGAAATGCGAGAATCAATAACAAATAATAGAGAGGACTTTCTTAATAACCGTGCATCAAAACAACGATTGGCTAGTGCCTCGTTTGAGATTGCCAAATTTACAAAAGAATTAGTAGGGTTATTCGAATAGTCTGAAAATTTTTATTAAATATTTATAAAGTAGAAAAAATAATTTATATCACGTTTTCATATCATATTTGTGAGAATATTTTTCGATGTCCATTAAGATTAATTAAGAATCATTATTTAATTTAAAAATGCTAATAAGATTATTAGCATTTTTTATTTCCTAAAAATAAAAAAAAAAAAAACAATTTTAATATTTATATATTTTAGACTCATAAATTTAAAAATTTTATTTAAAAAATACTAAATTTTTTATCATTGCAAATTTGCGAATATTGCTAATAAATTGCCCAGCCTGAATACTGGTGATTTACTGAAATTTAATATATAAATTTTTTTTTTTAATTGCATGACTAAATCACACCATTAATGAATTAGTACTATGCACCTAGATTTTATTAAAAATGAACATCGTCTAACTGGTTAAATTCTGTAACATATAACATTCTTACTTTTTTTTTGGCGAAATAAAACCCAACACGTAACTGTAAATAAAAGTTTATTAGTCTTAGGCTTTAACAGTTTATTTTATATATTTTTCGGTCTTGCTTCGTATGGTCTTTTTAAATTCAACTCTAAAT